GTATTGATATGTCTTGATATGTCTTGATCTCTGATTGATGTCTGATTTTGTAATTGACTGGATTGTAAAGTTCAGAGTTTAGTCCTTTGCAAGTCTCTTGCGCCTTTTGAGCACCGACCTTGCAGCTGTACAGCACCTGTTAGTCGGGGGTTTTCTGTCACCTGAAGGTGAACCTGGGAGAAGGATGGAGAAGGAACATGTTCGCAAAAAAGCAGCCGGGTTTCAGCAGAAAGGGGGTTGGTTGCGAAATTTCTTCGACTGGCATCTGTTTGTTTTAACTGTTTTACACAAAAAGTTCTGCAAAACAGGCCTTCCTGTTTCTGATGGTTGGGGAGCTGTTAGTGAGATCGCTGTGAAGACAAGATTGCTTGGATTGCAGGCACCATGACCATCCCCATCAGATGGCTTGCCACGACGATCTGCTCAAGTAATTTGTTGTTCGGTCCGCTGTGCCTGTCCCATTCATCTCAGTGTGTCGCCATGCCTTGCAGCCGAAAGTGCTTGGTGTTGCTGACCCTGGCCCTGACGAGTCGCGCAGAGGACGCTGCTGGTCATTTGCGAGGCCCTTCGAAAGAGGATGCCCCTGTGACCCCTTCGGCCCCTGCTGCCCCTGGGCTGGCTGAGTTGATTGAGTTGCCGGATGCGAGCGGGTTGCCAGACACCCCAGGGCCATACAAAGAAGTGCCAAGTGATGCTGATGCCGGAAAGCCAACAGCTGCTGTGAAGGAATGGAGGTCCAAAGTTCCCAATGCCACTCATGGCAGTTTGGGCAGCTTGGTCTCGTTGCAAGCTTGGCAGGATTATCAGTTCTGCAATGTTCACCAGACAGGTTTCTTCTGCGATGGCCTCACTCGCGTTCGTTGCTGCAACTTGGAGGATCGCTATGCCAAGTGTGGTTCAACGACAAACTCAAGCACTTGCGGAGCTGAGAAGCCAGAGAAGTCTGAGCAGCCCAAGCAGCCTGAGTCTTCCAAGCAGAAGTGGTGGCCTTTTGGTCGGCGGCGCAAACGATGAATAAGTGGAGGCGCAAGTGATGTGTGAGCCCTTTGGTTTTATCCTCCGGCTGGGTACCCTGCATATCCCGGATATCCTGGTGGCAGCAGTGGCTGGCACATTCACCAGGGCTGGCATGTCAGCAGCTATTGCCAATCGCATCATGTCGGCTCCTTTTGTCGCAGTCGCAGTATTATCCACTGCTGCAACGATTTTGGGCACTATGTAGAGTGCAACTCTGCATTCTCTGATAGCGGCCGCTGGTGTTAGTCACTTTAGGTTTTGATAGAGTCTTGATAGAGTCTTGATATGTCTTGATATGTCTTGATCTCTGATTGATGTCTGATTTTGCAATTGACTGGATTGTAAAGTTCGAAGTTTAGTCCTTTGCAAGTCTCTTGCGCCTTTTGAGCACCGACCTTGCAGCTGTACAGCACCTGTTAGTCGGGGGTAGTCTGTCACCTGAAGGTGAACCTGGGAGAAGGATGGAGAAGGAACATGCTCAAAAAAGCAGCCGGGTTTCAGCAGAAAGTCAGGTGTGGCCATGGTGCTTCAATTACAAGCAGCAGCTGTTTCATTTTGATATGCTTTCAGGGGTTGGTTGTGACATTTCTTCGGCTGGCATCTGTTTGTTTTACACAAAAAGTTCTGCAAAACAGGCCTTCCTGTTTCTGATGGTTGGGGAGCTGTTAGTGAGATCGCTGTGAAGACAAGATTGCTTGGATTGCAGGCACCATGACCATCCCCATCAGATGGCTTGCCACGACGATCTGCTCAAGTAATTTGTTGTTCGGTCCGCTGTGCCTGTCCCATTCATCTCAGTGTGTCGCCATGCCTTGCAGCCGAAAGTGCTTGGTGTTGCTGACCCTGGCCCTGACGAGTCGCGCAGAGGACGCTGCTGGTCATTTGCGAGGCCCTTCGAAAGAGGATGCCCCTGCGACCCCTTCGGCCCCTGCTGCCCCTGGGCTGGCTGAGTTGATTGAGTTGCCGGATGCGAGCGGGTTGCCAGACACCCCAGGCCCATACAAAGAAGTGCCAAGTGATGCTGATGCCGGAAAGCCAACAGCTGCTGTGAAGGAATGGAGGTCCAAAGTTCCCAATGCCACTCATGGCAGTTTGGGCAGCTTGGTCTCGTTGCAAGCTTGGCAGGATTATCAGTTCTGCAATGTTCACCAGACAGGTTTCTTCTGCGATGGCCTCACTCGCATTCGTTGCTGCAAGTTGGAGGATGGCTATGCCAAGTGTGGTTCAGCGGCAAACTCAAGCACTTGCGGAGCTGAGAAGCCAGAGAAGTCTGAGCAGCCTAAGCAGCCTGAGTCTTCCAAGCAGAAGGCCCTTTGGTTTTATCCTCCAGCTGGGTACCCTGCATATCCCGGATATCCCGGTGGCAGCGGTGGCTGGCACATTCACCAGGGCTGGCATGTCAGCAGCTATTGCCAATCGCATCATGTGGGCTCCTTTTGTCGCAGTCACAGTATTATCCACTGCTGCAACGATTTTGGGCACTATGTAGAGTGCAACTCTGCATTTTCTGATAGCGGCCGCTGGTGTTAGTCACTTTAGGTTTTGATATGTCTTGATATGTCTTGATATGTCTTGATATGTCTTGATCTCTGATTGATGTCTGATTTTGTAATTGACTGGATTGTAAAGTTCAGAGTTTAGTCCTTTGCAAGTCTCTTGCGCCTTTTGAGCACCGACCTTGCAGCTGTACAGCACCTGTTAGTCGGGGTTTTCTGTCACCTGAAGGTGAACCTGGGAGAAGGATGGAGAAGGAACATGTTCGCAAGAAAGCAGCCGGGTCATCATAAAGTCAGGTGTGGCCATGGGCTCTCAAATTAAAGCAGCAGCTGTTTTCCATTTTGAATAATGCTTTCAAGGTTGGTTGTTACATTTCTTCCGGCTGGCCGCTTTTTGGGTTTTACACAAAAAGTTCTGCAAAACAGGCCTTCCTGTTTCTGATGGTTGGGGGCTGTTAGTGAGATCGCTGTGAAGACAAGATTGCTTGGATTGCAGGCACCATGACCATCCCCATCAGATGGCTTGCCACGACGATCTGCTCAAGTAATTTGTTGTTCGGTCCGCTGTGCCTGTGCCATTCATCTCAGTGTGTCGCCATGCCTTGCAGCCGAAAGTGCTTGGTGTTGCTGACCCTGGCCCTGACGAGTCGTGCAGAGGACGCTGCTGGTCATTTGCGAGGCCCTTCGAAAGAGGATGCCCCTGCGACCCCTTCGGCCCCTGCTGACCATGGGCTGACTAGTGGTCAGGTTGATTGAGTTGCCGGATGCGAGCGGGTTGCCAGACACCCCAGGGCCATACAAAGAAGTGCCAAGTGATGCTGATGCCGGAAAGCCAACAGCTGCTATGAAGGAATGGAGGTCCAAAGTTCCCAATGCCACTCATGGCAGTTTGGGCAGCTTGGTCTCGTTGCAAGCTTGGCAGGATTATCAGTTCTGCAATGTTCACCAGACAGGTTTCTTCTGCGATGGCCTCACTCGCATTCGTTGCTGCAAGTTGGAGAATGGCTATGCCAAGTGTGGTTCAGCGGCAAACTCAAGCACTTGCGGAGCTGAGAAGCCAGAGAAGTCTGAGCAGCCTAAGCAGCCTGAGTCTTCCAAGCAGAAGGCCTTTGGTTTTATCCTCCAGCTGGGTACCCTGCATATCCCGGATATCCGGTGGCAGCGGTGGCTGGCACATTCACCAGGGCTGGCATGTCAGCAGCTATTGCCAATCGCATCATGTGGGCTCCTTTTGTCGCAGTCACAGTATTATCCACTGCTGCAACGATTTTGGGCACTATGTAGAGTGCAACTCTGCATTCTCTGATAGCGGCCGCTGGTGTTAGTCACTTTAGGTTTTGATAGAGTCTTGATAGTCTTGATATGTCTTGATATGTCTTGATATGTCTTGATCTCTGATTGATGTCTGATTTTGCAATTGACTGGATTGTAAAGTTCAGAGTTTAGTCCTTTGCAAGTCTCTTGCGCCTTTTGAGCACCGACCTTGCAGCTGTACAGCACCTGTTAGTCGGTGGTAGTCTGTCACCTGAAGGTGAACCTGGGAGAAGGATGGAGAAGGAACATGCTCAAAAAAGCAGCCGGGTTTCAGCAGAAAGTCAGGTGTGGCCATGGTGCTTCAATTACAAGCAGCAGCTGTTTCATTTTGATATGCTTTCAGGGGTTGGTTGTGACATTTCTTCGGCTGGCATCTGTTTGTTTTACACAAAAAGTTCTGCAAAACAGGCCTTCCTGCTTCTGATGGTTGGGGAGCTGTTAGTGAGATCGCTGTGAAGACAAGATTGCTTGGATTGCAGGCACCGTGACCATCCCCATCAGATGGCTTGCCACGACGATCTGCTCAAGTAATTTGTTGTTCGGTCCGCTGTGCCTGTGCCATTCATCTCAGTGTGTCGCCATGCCTTGCAGCCGAAAGTGCTTGGTGTTGCTGACCCTGGCCCTGACGAGTCGTGCAGAGGACGCTGCTGGTCATTTGCGAGGCCCTTCGAAAGAGGATGCCCCTGCGACCCCTTCGGCCCCTGCTGCCCCTGGGCTGACTGAGTTGGTCAGGTTGATTGAGTTGCCGGATGCGAGCGGGTTGCCAGACACCCCAGGGCCATACAAAGAAGTGCCAAGTGATGCTGATGCCGGAAAGCCAACAGCTGCTGTGAAGGAATGGAGGTCCAAAGTTCCCAATGCCACTCATGGCAGTTTGGGCAGCTTGGTCTCGTTGCAAGCTTGGCAGGATTATCAGTTCTGCAATGTTCACCAGACAGGTTTCTTCTGCGATGGCCTCACTCGCATTCGTTGCTGCAAGTTGGAGGATGGCTATGCCAAGTGTGGTTCAGCGGCAAACTCAAGCACTTGCGGAGCTGAGAAGCCAGAGAAGTCTGAGCAGCCTAAGCAGCCTGAGTCTTCCAAGCAGAAGGCCCTTTGGTTTTATCCTCCAGCTGGGTACCCTGCATATCCCGGATATCCCGGTGGCAGCGGTGGCTGGCACATTCACCAGGGCTGGCATGTCAGCAGCTATTGCCAATCGCATCATGTGGGCTCCTTTTGTCGCAGTCACAGTATTATCCACTGCTGCAACGATTTTGGGCACTATGTAGAGTGCAACTCTGCATTCTCTGATAGCGGCCGCTGGTGTTAGTCACTTTAGGTCTTGATATGTCTTGATATGTCTTGATATGTCTTGATCTCTGATTGATGTCTGATTTTGCAATTGACTGGATTGTAAAGTTCAGAGTTTAGTCCTTTGCAAGTCTCTTGCGCCTTTTGAGCACCGACCTTGCAGCTGTACAGCACCTGTTAGTCGGTGGTTTTCTGTCACCTGAAGGTGAACCTGGGAGAAGGATGGAGAAAGAACATGTTCGAAAAAAGCAGCCGGGTTTCAGCAGAAAGTCAGGTGTGGCCATGGTGCTTCAATTACAAGCAGCAGCTGTTTCATTTTGATATGCTTTCAGGGGTTGGTTGTGACATTTCTTCGACTGGCATCTGTTTGTTTTACACAAAAAGTTCTGGCAAAACAGGCCGTCCTGCTTCTGATGGTTGGGGAGCTGCTAGTGAGATCGCTGTGAAGACAAGATTGCTTGGATTGCAGGCACCGTGACCATCCCCATCAGATGGCTTGCCACGACGATCTGCTCAAGTAATTTGTTGTTCGGTCCGCTGTGCCTGTGCCATTCATCTCAGTGTGTCGCCATGCCTTGCGGCCGAAAGTGCTTGGTGTTGCTGACCCTGGCCCTGACGAGTCGTGCAGAGGACGCTGCTGGTCATTTGCGAGGCCCTTCGAAAGAGGATGCCCCTGCGACCCCTTCGGCCCCTGCTGACCATGGGCTGACTGAGTTGGTCAGGTTGATTGAGTTGCCGGATGCGAGCGGGTTGCCAGACACCCCAGGGCCATACAAAGAAGTGCCAAGTGATGCTGATGCCGGAAAGCCAACAGCTGCTGTGAAGGAATGGAGGTCCAAAGTTCCCAATGCCACTCATGGCAGTTTGGGCAGCTTGGTCTCGTTGCAAGCTTGGCAGGATTATCAGTTCTGCAATGTTCACCAGACAGGTTTCTTCTGCGATGGCCTCACTCGCATTCGTTGCTGCAAGTTGGAGAATGGCTATGCCAAGTGTGGTTCAGCGGCAAACTCAAGCACTTGCGGAGCTGAGAAGCCAGAGAAGTCTGAGCAGCCTAAGCAGCCTGAGTCTTCCAAGCAGAAGGCCCTTTGGTTTTATCCTCCAGCTGGGTACCCTGCATATCCCGGATATCCCGGTGGCAGCGGTGGCTGGCACATTCACCAGGGCTGGCATGTCAGCAGCTATTGCCAATCGCATCATGTGGGCTCCTTTTGTCGCAGTCACAGTATTATCCACTGCTGCAACGATTTTGGGCACTATGTAGAGTGCAACTCTGCATTCTCTGATAGCGGCCGATGGTGTTAGTCACTTTAGGTTTTGATAGAGTCTTGATAGAGTCTTGATATGTCTTGATATGTCTTGATATGTCTTGATCTCTGATTGATGTCTGATTTTGCAATTGACTGGATTGTAAAGTTCAGAGTTTAGTCCTTTGCAAGTCTCTTGCGCCTTTTGAGCACCGACCTTGCAGCTGTACAGCACCTGTTAATCGGTGGTTTTCTGTCACCTGAAGGTGAACCTGGGAGAAGGATGGAGAAGGAACATGTTCGAAAAAAGCAGCCGGGTTTCAGCTTGACAAGAAGAATGTCAGATGTAGCGTAGCTGTGATGCTGAAACTGCCACAGCAGCAGAATGGGTGTTGCAAGCAGCCACCAGCCGTTGGTGGTTTCAAGTCGATTTTCCATCCTTGAAATTGGATGATGATCCAGTTGGTGGGTTTCCACTCATTGTTTGAGGATCACCTCATTTGGATAATTGTTATATTATTCTATACACTTTCAAAAAGTCGTAGCCACTGTTCCGACTGTCAGAGAGGCTTTGAGTTTGCCACAGCTGTTGCACGAGCGACGCAAACAGCAACTGCAGCAGATGGAACAACGCTTGGGCACCACAGGGGAGCTGAAGAGGTCTTTGGGGTACTGAAATCGACATTCAGGATATTGAGCTATTTGGGTTTATCCCAATTTGATCCATAAAATTCCATTAAACAACTATTTGTTTGATTTTATTTGGGGGATCAAAACCTATCAAAACATTCAAAACCTATCAGCCGATATTTTGGGGGTTCCTTCATCCCCATTTACCAGCTGTTTTGATGTTCACCTGGCAACAGGGTTTTGACATACCACGGCCTTGATGTCCATCATGCTTTCTTTAGCCGTTTCTGTAAACGTGAGGGACCCAAGTTCTTGTTCAAGTTCTTCGTTGTTTTAAGTTATATATTATATAAGTCATAATATTTATATATATGGATGTGGGTCAAAATGGAAGACCTAGGGAACCACAGATGTTAGTCTAGTTTAGTATTAACCATCCATAATTTTGGGGTACCTAATTTTGACCCATACCCATATATGTTATATGTATATAAGATATAAAAAATGTATTTGTATTCCCTTCTCCATATCAAATACCAAACAAAACCCCCGCTGCAATGTAAAAAACACCTGGGGAGCAAGGTTTGCAGTGCCGGAGACACGAGCCTTCTGCCTGGCCCTATGAGCGGGCCCGCAGAGCTGAAGCACCCTCCAGAGATTGCACTGGCACAGTTGATGCAGATGGGTGTGTCTGAAAATGTCGTGTACCCCTTTTTACCCAATGGTTTTGCTGATCATTATCCCTATGAAAAATGGCTATTTCATTGGGGGTATACCCTATTTTCAGACATACCCAGATATGAAACAGAACATGCCTTTAAACACTAAAAAACGAGACATCCCAATGGCACAAATGGCATAGAAAAACCATGAAAAGGACAGTTGTGGCGGAAACCCCATTTCTGAACCTCCGGTGCTCAGAAACCTGACATTCCGGCCTCTGGTCTGGTGGTGAAGATGGTTGAGCCCTAGCCTTGGAATGATCAAAGGAAATTTTCGGGCTGAAGGGGTAGCCTCCCGCATCAAACAAACTGGGAAAAGGTTTTAGTGGGCAGATCATTTGTAAACAGTGAATTAACAATTGCCATGGTTGACTGCCAAAGGCTAAATATTTTTTTTGTTCCTTTCAACATCAGTTCGATGATTTTCTCATCAAAACCTCCATTCAACATAAGATTTCCTTTCAATTTCGGTTGACAACCGAGGAGAGCAACATCTTTGGAGAGTGACTTTCAGTTGAAGGGTTCTAACATCTTCTAACTTGATGTCAGCAACGACTTGTGATGACCTTTGAATATACTTTTGTCATTTCTTCGGATGTATCAATGGGGAACCAGCTTGGCTTTCATGCTCTTCCAGCTGAGTCATGCTTCGAGTTGGTGGGGAAGCAGAGACCTCAATGGGTCATCCGCCCTGTTGATTCGGGGGTAATTATGCCCATCATGAGGATTATCATAGCCCATGAAGGTACCATGTAACTTGACCATGACATTTCGGAGTGGGCAGATCTGATGGGTAGCCACGAATCAGAGAGGGGATATAAACGGAGTTAGTCAGTTAGTGCAATAACATCGAGACATGTAACTCAACAAGGATCAAGGCTTGCTCGGAATCGAACGTTTCCAGCTCTGTGGACCCAGAAGCAGAAGTGAATTGACTTTTCCGTCGAGGGTATGACATCAAACCTGGAACATCACTATCAATCCTTGAGAATATACAGAGTGGAAGCGGATGGAACATAACCAACCCCCATTTCATATATTTCATGCTAGTAAGAGATCATTGTTTATGGTCGGGGCCTCAATCCTCCATCATTTTTGCTAACAATTGTCATCCATTGCCGGAGGAAGATTTTGGACCATATCTATGTCATCAAATACCAGTTTTTGCTGGTCATTTTCCTACTCTTGCTGGTCAAATTCCATATTTGTCCGTGAACCATGTCGCTTCAATTCCAACAAACGTTGGTTACACACCAAATGCTGCTTCATTTCCCAGTTTTCTTCCTTGTTTGTGATTATCCGGCCACTGAGACCTGGCTCACTCCTTGCAGAAGTCGCATCAGGGCAAGTCCTGGTTGCTGCTGTCGCAGGCGACCCTGGAAAAGGAGGGTTGAGGCAAATTTCACATAAATCACCAATTTTGTGGACCTCAGATTGAATTGGCTTGCCAGAGCTCATGATGTCATGATTCGTGATTTGGATCCCAGTGATACGGTAGTGCCTGTCCTACTCTTGTCCTGGTCGCATGTTGGGTCATGGTCCCCTGTACTTAGCAGGAGGTGAAGAAACTCTCCCAGCTAAGTCATATCAACCTGGTCTGGAACTCAGTAAATACACTAGTTATGTACATTTCCAGGAACGGTGTGCTCATGCGCGGGTGAATGGGGGGATGTGTTGAATTGAGGATTCTTATGATGTTTTTTTTTCTCCGAAAAAAACTAGGTTTTGGGTTTGGAAAGAGTGGAAACAGTTCGGAGAGTCAGACATTTGACTGTTGGGTTCACATGAGCCATCGCAACTCAGGCACTGAAGGGAACATTTCCGGCATTTTTAGGGACGGACATCGGATGGAAATTGTAAAAACGTGTGGTAAGCGATGGGACCTTTCCAAATTTGCGGATGTCCGTGAACCTGGAGTTTCTGAGATTGCTGACATATTCGTGGTTGTGGTTCCCCATTTGGGGTGATGATCCCAAATCCCAAATGACTCATATTTTCCAAGGGGTAGCTCAACCACCAGCTTGAACTGTGACTTCCGAGTGCGGCATGCTGCCGGGCTAACTGAGATCAAGACTCACACGGTTTTTGTGGATGACTACTTCGTGTACTTCGTCATCTCCAGGTCCTGATGATGGAACATTTCCACCAAAGTGGCATCTGCCAGATCGAAATCTATTCATCGCTTCATAACAAGCATAGCTCCAGATAAATCCCAGTTTAAACATGTTTAATCGGTTTATTTTATGACAGGAACAACAAAAATATTATCCCTTGCAGTTCTAGAATCGTCAGATGAGGATGCCAGCAGCTCAATAGAGAAGCCATCTCCAGCTGTGGGAGGTTCCCCTGCAGTCTGCGGGATGCAGTTCTGACCACTGGCAAGTTGGGCCCTCAGAGCCCCCGAAGCTGCTCCCTCCACCGAAGCTGGGATTCATGGATGTTCATACCTAGAAATATGGTATGTAAACATATGTATCCATATGTAAACTAACATGGCTATGGAAACTGCCCGATTTACAGGGGATTTAGTTTTTTTAAAAGCTATTTAGGATAGCGATTTCCATAGCTATGTTAAATTCTCCGAGGGTAGCTTTTGATCCATCCCCATATGGCGACATCCATAGCGGCGATGCAAAAAAGCCGCCAGTTTGGACCGATCGACTGGGGTCTATTTCTTTGGGATTCAGCAGCATGACCGGGTCATTAGGGCTTCGTAGTATTTTCATCAAGCTGTTTTCATTGTTGGAGGCATTTTTTTGTCCAATGGCCTTGCCACACGTTTCCAGGTTCTCGCGAAGGGGACTGCCAGTGTCCATCGCTGCATACACTGCAGTGCAGCCCTTACCAGTCCTGGTGAGATGCATCCTGGGTCATTGTTCCGACATTCCTTTGCTCTCAGCTGTCGCCTGCTTCGCAGCCTCACCATGTTACACCGAAAGAGCTTTGATAGAAAAGATTCGCCCCTCGATTCTTCGATTCTCGGCCAATGATTGTGGCTAGAAAAGGCTAGAATCTGACTTCGCTTGCCCCAAACTTCGGGGCTTTTCCGGAATTAGAAGGGCTATCCCCCATATGTATCCATATGTTGGATGTCGACTCATGCAGAATTGCCCCCCAGGACCAACTGCTGTCTGCCTTGGCATACCTTCACGCCCACAGCCGCGGGCCGCAGATTTTGGTGATTTCTTGGTCCATCGACGTCCATCGACTCTGCCGAACCATGGTCGTACCGAGACGTGGCCCATCGCGGTATCACCCCGGACAACTTGGTGGTCACCACCTCAAACATCCTCAATGAACGATTCACGCCAGGTGCTCAGAGTTACGGTGCCAGCAAACATTGGGATATAACATGATATAAATGGGGATCTATGATGCGGATTCATCATGCGATATATACACATATATATATAGCCATCAAGTACTAATATTGTAACATTACATATATAACTATAGTCAATTGGGGTTCCAATGCTATCATGGGGAAATATTCTGGGGATTGACTCCCCAGTTATGCCAATATTAATGGAACACAGACTGTGTGGCACTCAAACAGTACTGAGCCGCGAAATCTGCATGGCCTCGCCGTCAAGGCTTGTGATCGCGGATCTCTACTCCACAGCAAGGAGTGTTGAGGCGACCGCATCTCCTAGAGTCGGAGGGATCCAGTTGAGACCGAGTCGTGCTGCAGGCAGGTGCCTTCCTGACGGAGGTCTTTGGCTCCCCTGAGTATTGGGCGCCTGAAGTGGCCGCCAGGGCCTCAGTGACGGGGTGACCATGGGTTGATGGGGATGTTTACTTTCGATTTCCACATGTTCAGTCAGGTTTTGGTGTGAAACATCCAATATATGTACAGTATTTGTATGTATATATAACATATTAATATAGTTTAAATGTATATGTATTGTATTGTATTGTATTATATTATATTATATTGTATTATATTATATTATATTAAATTATATTATATTATATTATATTATACATACATGTAGAATTTGTATACTTAGGTAATGATGGCGAAATGATGTGAGAAGCTGTGCCTACTGGGTAGACTGATGTCAAGCCCTGCCAGGAATGTGAGTACAGCTTTGCTGCAGATGTGTGGGTTCTGGACCTCAGTAACCGCAGTGGTTAGTTATCGGGAAGCCATGAAACAACCGAGGCTGCTGGAGTTGTCTTGTGGTTTGCTCAGACAAAGTTGCTTGGCTGACAACATACATACATATATATATATATATTTACACATATAGATATATACAATATCTGGAACCCCAAACAGCCAGAAATAAATGGCTATTTCCCGTAGTGAAGATTCCCTACATAACAAGTTGTTCAGAAATGGTTGGTTGGGGTTCCAGAAACGGACACCACGTTGTTCAGATGTGGGGTTCACCGAGGAAGTTGCCCTTCACCAGTCTTCAGAATGTCCTAACCCGGGCACCTCGGCGCTAAACGTAGGGAATGGATGGGAATGGGGGTTGCTGGGATGATTATTGATAGTGCTTGTGGATCATTCCCTCATTCCTTAAAAAAAACACCAGTTGAACCTAACGAGTTGCGTTTTGCTAAGGACGTTGAGCCTAACGTGCGGATCACTCGGGACGTCTTCGAGTCTCTCGCATCCATGCTCTGTGCCTCGGTTTCGAATTGTTCTGCAGGCGTTCAGAGCATCAAAGTCGGTTTGTACTTGAAACTCCGAACATGTCTTAAGAGTCTTAATTCATATTTATTTTCACCCACTTACACCCATTTTGATTGGACATGAGACCAGCTCCTGTTTTTGGCCACTTGCATCAAATCAACAAGTTCAATCATTGATGACAACGAGGTCGCGAAGTTGAGAATCGCATCACGGCTGAGGAGGCAGGGAACCAGGAATTTGTCAGCGAGAGAAAACCAGAGATGTTGGAGCGGAAGTATCATCTCACACAATTTCCACATTTTGGACATTTGCTGCTGATTCCATAGTATATCATATCACATAAAATGGCTGACATTACTATACTCTCAAAAGATCGGAAATTACTATATATATATATGTCTATATGTATAATCTCATCCCGTCTATAGATAAATCTTGCATACTCTTGCATACTCTTCCCTATTTTGCTGCAATAAACACCATCTTGTACCATCTTGTACCATCAGATTACGCCAAGGCCTTGAAGCACGACTGGTTGCGGGAAAGTGAATTTGGGCCTTCGCAGATTCAAACCCGCCGTGGCGCAGCTGTTTTACGCCCAGTCACCAGAAAGGCTGATGATGGTGATGATGGCTGAGGGTCTCCATACTTAAAAAATACTAGAATTGTACTAAACATGAGATAATAGTGGTAAATCCAACCCTGTCTATCTTTTGTTGGGGTTGCTGTGTCTGCAACGTATGACTATATGTATGTATTACACATAATGTAGAGATGCTGCATCAGGTTTTCAGTATGTGGACTTGTGATGAGAGAAGTTGCAGAAAGTGCAATGGCTCAGGTGAATCGTCACGGCCATGAACCAAGTTGGGGGAGTCGTCAAAGTCGTCAAAGCGGGGTGACTGCCATGATAGGTGCTGATATAGATGGATATTGATTTTGGGGAGAATAGGAAGTAGATTACTAAGTAGATTGATTATCATTCTGTAATTCAAGACGGACTTCCATCACCTCTCACAGACCCAGCTAATACGGTATCGTCGACAAAGGGCTGGAAGTGGGTCCCTGTGCAGGGTTGTTTTTGCGTTGGGTCAGGCTAAATTCTGTGTCTTTGCTAGTACTATCAGGATTGCAGGGTGATTTTGGCACATTTCCCCGGGGAATTGGCTAGTTTCACTGTTTTCTGCTCTGTGTTCAAGCGCAGGCAAGAATATGTGAAACTAGCTCCTGGCTTTGTGGCTTCTGAACGCACCTGTTCTTATCAATTTTCCTGGCTGCAAACGGTTAAAAAAAACATTCACATAGGCATCTTCGATTTCTGGCTTGAATGTGATTTTCCCAAATGCGGAACCGCAGCCACGACCAGCCAAAACCGCTCTCTCTGCTCAGCTCTCTCCGCCCGCCTGAAGAATGCCCGGCCCAGCCCAACTTGAACTCTGCAGGTTGAAGGTGGTGTGTGCCAGCGAGGCTGAAGTCCGCCAAAGCCTTCGCAACAAAGGCTTCAGGGCTGCGAGAATTTCGCAGCTCATGAATGAGTGCTCCCAGAACCCTCCACGGAGTGCAGCTCAAGTGGAGCGGCAGACGGCCCAGGACCCAAAAAAAAGCAATCAGTCTGCCTCGAAAGAATTATTTAAATAGCGCGAATGATGCACCATCAACTATATATATATCCTGATTCTATCATAGATTGCTTGAGCAGGTAGGTTGATCACCGATGAACCGATACATTTCCTCGAACAACGACTTGAGAACAGAATTTATCAGGTCTAAAAATAACAATATCCAATATTCATAAATAGACATGATAACGATCGGCCACTCAGGATTGAGACATCGTTTAGTTCAGAAAGATCAATGGATGCAATAGAACAGAAAACATCGGAAAAAAAGAAAAAGGTTACGCACCTACAGTAATTAGATATACTGTTTATGTAAATATCAACACACACACATATATATATATATTTATTTATATATTTTTATGTGTGTGTATGTTTCTACGATCTAGCTATGCCTATCTGTATAATTCTAGACCCCTTAAATTGGACCCGCCCTGATCTGATTCACATCGAAGGACATCGTCACCGGCACGATGCACGAGCTCCTGAGAGTGAGGCGGCTAAAGAGACGAGTGCACAGGGCGGCTCGCCACTGCCTGAAGAACCTGCGGCGGCACCATGCCCCCAGGGCATGGCCCAGGAGGGTGGCTCGCCTGGTGGGCGAGTTACGCGCGCGCCTGCAAAGGCCGCCAGTGGACGAAGACTCTGACTAGGCCGGGGAGTGCAGCTGGGGCCCGGGAAGACCACCAGCCACATCAGTAATATAACTATTCGCTAAAGGCAACTTTCCATCTTCCATCTAACGACATTTCAAACCATTATACTTAATTATAAGCATTCCAAATTCATACTTGGCAAGACCAGTTCATAATATAAAATGCACGGATCTAGAGATGATGAAGATATAGAGAGAGAGGGAGAGCGGAGAGAGAATGAGAATGTGTCCTTACATGAGAATCCACGCGTATTAACATCTTCTAATGATACCGGACGATGGAAATTTCCGATCAATAAACTGAATGACCTTGTCGCCCTGCCAAAACGCCCCGCCGCAGGACAAAGGCGAACGAAACGGCAGTGGCAGTACAGAAGTCGCCGCACAGGCCCCCCTCCCACCGGACGAGCACAAAGCCGTCCGGTGGGAGGGGGGTGACAGGCGCAAAACCAGCTTCGCGGCAAACAAGCTGAGCACAGAGGCAAAAAAAGACGATGTTGTGGCGAATGTGGGTGTCCCCCATGAAGAGAAAGTCGATGTTGTTCATCCCCTGCAACAAACTGTTCTGATAAGAGGACGGGCGAATTTTTTTTATCTCCCGAATGCAATGGAGGGAGGGAAGGTGAATGTGTCTCCATGCGTCAATCAGACATGCCATCAGCCTGTTATTTATCTGCTAATCTAGAACAATGATACCCCCATTCTTGCCCGAATTTCTCCACCCCTGGTAAAGCGATTGTATTTACCGTATGTTTAAATGAGGTGGATCCCGTATGTTGAAATGGCCGGGGCGGGCCAAGGAGAACCTTTCCCGAGGTAGTAAGTATGAAATACCTGGAACAATCATCCCAAAACCACCCTCATATTTTTCAGCGGGGTAGGGCTCGACCACCCAGCTAGTAGATTCCCACTTGATGGCCGACTGAGAGCCCAGGAACTGGTTGGACCTCACCGTGGTTCTAGATGTTGTCAGTGGTTAGACATGTTTGTCCTGGAAGGAAAAAATGAAGAGATACGGCTGTCAAGGTTGTCTTAAAGCCATCATACCCATCCGACTTCTGGAAAAGAGTCCTTGAGGTCCATGCCGCAAAAGTATTCCTAGACTACTTTGTTTTGACATGTGGGGCATTCAGATCTTCGGGACATTTTCAACTGGAACAAAAAGGGAAAATCTATAGGAACAACCAGTTTTTTCCTGCAGATTTTCCCATAAATCCATACATTGATGAATTCTGGATCAACATTACCATTCCCTCAGCCATAAAATCGAGGATTTTGCCAGCTACAAGACCTCCATGTGTAGTGGATTTTCATGGATTTTCGTACTATTCTTCGATATTTTCCTATGATTTGCCCATCAAAACCTTCATTTTTCCATCATTTTTCCATGGGACTTTCGGAATTTCCCAGCTTTTCGGCAGCGTCGAAACGCTGCCGAGGCCTCGCTGCGAAAGCCATGGACGATGCGGAGCGCGGCTCCGCTTCGAGCGGCTCGGAGGACTCCGAGTCCAGCGCCTCGAGCACGATCTTCCCGATGCGTCCCTTGGATGATGGATGATGGGGGACCCAATGGGGGATGGGGGAATTAAAAAGTCCCTGGACGGACTGTACATCTATGTACATCTATGGAAACTATTGTCTAAGATGAGAAGTATCTTGAAAATTCTCCGTATGCTCTTTTTTGATGAGTCCTCGTTGGAATGATTATTGTGGTGATGATGATATATGAAGATTAAGATGAAGATGATGATGATGATGATGATGCTCCATCCCCTGACCTGCTCAGGTGACGTGAGCCCAATCCAGGCGCGAAATGCCTCCAAAAAGTGGGGCAACTCAGATTCTGCTGATTTCTGCTGGATCGTTGGATGGTACCCTCTAGAACTTTTGACAATCTCCGACATGGATGAACATGGCCGATTTATTTCGATGATTGGGCAATTAAACAATGTTAAACTGTTAAACATGCTGGTTTTCCATAGCAACCTGTCAAATGACCAGAGGGTATTTCTTGGGAATTGATACGTGCTGCGTTTAGAGGGGATTTCTCATGGATAATTGGAATCCAACATAATATGATAGCATCTGCTCAACGCTCTTCAAGGAAATTGCTCAGACGTCAAAGCGCCACAGATTTGCGGCAGGTGGTGCCGAGCCTAGCAGCCTGGTGTGGCTAGGTCTCCCCTTTGCCACCCAGAATGTATGGTTTATCATTTATAATTACTACTAATTCATGACATCAACTGGTACCCGAGTTTGGAATATTTTGGCTATCCAGGCATTCTTGTTGCTTTGGTTGCTCTTTGCAAGCTGTGTCTCTGGAAATGATGCACCTGGGTTCTTGCCCTCCAAGTCCACGAAGCAGCGCGCTCAAGAGGAGCAGAATCCTCAGAATCCTCAGTAGTGCAGGGTGGTCTTGGAGCAGTCTTGGCATTAAAACTATATCCGCAGTACTCAAATAATTCAATGAGATTCTTTGAGCAGGTTTTTTGATGTCTATAGCCTGTCCATAGCATTCGAGTTTTTTTTGGCGCGATGTTTTCCATGATTCTCATGGTGAATCCAAAGGCCCCAAGGCATCACATGCTGAAAGGTCTTATGCTGTCCACCTGCTGGGGGGAAACGGGGCTGAGTGAGGCCTTCCAATTGGGGCCGCCCGAAGCAAGCTGTTTGGGTGCCCAATGGTGCCCAGATATCGGGGACGCAACGAGTCAGACTGCTTCGCCCAAAGCTGCTTTTTGCTATGAACATTTGGTCACCCGATGGATGATTCTGGATGATTCCGGAAAAAGATATCTTGGGGGCAGGTGGCCGAAATCGACGTTCGCCAAGGCCCGGCTTCTGCCGCAAAAGAAGCAACGAGCGGATGAGCGCTTTGCCATGGGCGAGAAGGTCGCCGTGCCGCTGTGGCCAGAGTGTAGCTGATCGCAACACCTTGCTGCAAATGGGAGTGAAACCAGAGCTTTGGGCCGTTCTAGACCTATGATTTGTGGGATATTTCGTATGGTATGATAAATTATTGAGGTAGAACCCAAACATGGGAGTCGAACTACAAACATGGCTAAACGTGTGTGTTCACTTACTACTACCTGGGCTTCTATGATAATCAGCAGAAAATCCACTGACGAAGTGTCAGCTGTCGCCCATGCAGGTCACAGTGAGTTTTGACATTGCGATTCAAAGGTGTGATTCTTGGGACCGCTCTTCAGCCTATCAACGCACGCGCCAAAGATCATATCATTGTATATGTCCTAATTTCACTTCTACAAAGGTCATATTTCAGGTGTTTAATCCAAGTTTGGATCACCTTTTTGGGTCATATTTCTGTGTATTGATGAAGAAAGAGTATCAATCCAGAATCCATTTTGATCCCCAAGGTGTCGCGAATCTATGGGTGGTTCTCTGGAGCCGTTCGTGTTCCTTGGAGAATTTGGGAAAGAGGTTGCCATTTCGCTTTGTTGGAAGCTTGTTGGAACTGTCATGGCCCCCCGGTGGTTTGAGACGAGCCCAGGTGAAACCCTTTTTTGGTCCTGTACGTTACCATTTTGGATGGTTTATGTTGTGTACATTACACACACAGATAGACATACAATGACATATCACGCAATATACACAATATGATATTATTATAATATAATAACACATACATACACACATGTACACACATGTACACACATACACATAACATAACTGCACACACGCACACACACACACACCCACACACCCACACACCCCCACACACGACACCCACAACACCCCACACACCCCCACACTCTACCCCCACACACCCACACACACACACCCCACACACACCCCACACACACCCACACACCCACACACACCCCACACACCCACACACACACCCACACACACGACCCACACACACACACACACACACACCCACCACACACCACACACACCCACACACACCCACACACCCACACACACCCACCCACACCCACACATACACACCCACCCACCCACACACACACCACCACACCCACACCCCACACACCCACACCCACACCCACACCCACACCCACACCCACACCCACACCCACACCCACACCCACACCCACACACACACACACACTTGCGAAGTCATGAAAGACGGTCTCTTTTCATGAATGCAAAGTCTGATTACCTCATGGTAGATTGAAGGCATCACTCGGCCATACCGAGTTAAAAAGGCCAAGCTTATCCGTTGACATTTGAATGTCAGGTTGTTTAAAAGAGAAACCAATACGACTCAATCAAACGTGATCATGAAATGACTGAATGACGGCATGCAGGTTCTTGGGTTAGCCTGATCCCATAAAGTACTAACAGATACGAATATGACCACCAGCTATGACCCCAACATATTGGGTATGTCATCCAGGTGCATCATGCAGGTACGTTTTCACAACCTAAGGTGAGTGTCTTCATTGGCACAAGACTCACCAAAGGTCCTTGTGCCCCCTGCTATGAATTAAAATGCAACGGTATCCAAAATTTATGGTGGAAAGCAGTTGAAAACTAGTTGGTTGGAATCAGTCGCAAGAAAGTGAGGAACTCTTTGGTACAGAGCTTGACACACACAAAAAGGCACGAAGCCGGGTTGGTATTTCTTTAAAGGCGAGAATGGAAGACATCATCAATAGATTGGTGAGAAACCGCAGAGGAAAATTTTGCAACCTCATCAGCGTGTTAGTAAATATTTTGCCGCAGCCAAAAGGTTAGGTATGCTTGAACTGCCTTCTGTACAGGACGCGTTGGCAGTCTGTTTTGGAGAACCCTTTCTGTACGTACAGCTGAATGAGTTGGTTGAGATCATCACGGACAAATTGTTTGGGAAACGTGTATCTGCGAATTAAGGTTGCACGGGACTTTAGTCCGGACAAGCGGAGACGCATGCTGCCAGCAGAATGGAGATCACGAATTTTCCATAGTGGAGGTACTTGGTACCTTACGGTTCGTTGCACGACATCGATGGTGAACCCAAGGAGTGTACCATCTTCGACGGTTTCCAACTCCACCGGCGCTTGATAAAAGAAACAATCGGAAAGCACTCGCATGGGCAATGCGGAGCGAAATCGATGGTCAAACAAAATGAATCTGTTGTCCACATATCGTGTGAACAGAAGCTGGAGTTGGCTGGATTGAACAAAAGTTAAATACGCATTTCTCCAGCTGCGCTCTATGAGCGTCACAGCCAAATTACTGAGAGAGGGAGAGATGTGTGATCCAATCCCTGCTCCACGATGCTGTACCCAAATTTGGTTGACAGCTTTAAACACGTGGGTACTTAAAGAAGCCTGGACAATTGTCAAAATATCTTGAACTCGAACGGTCTTGATATTCGATGATGTCTTCTTGCACTGTCCCACAAATGAAGTGTGGACAACTGGCCCTTTCAGAGCCATGTTGACCGAAACTTGTGTTTCACCATGTTGATTGACCCATTCCGTGGTCAATTGTTGAATCGCATCAAGTAAACGTGATTGAGGGACGCTGTTGAAAAATCCAACAAGATCATCGTTGATGGCAGCAAATTGAATATCGTCATCTGTACGAAAAAACCGTTGATGGATATGTTTCCAAATTTCAGGAACTGAAAGTTGACCGGCTTCTTGCGGCCAAAGCATCACACACATCGTATCAAGAGTTCTGGCGGTGGCCTGCATGAGTTTACCATAGCGTGAACCAAAATACGAAATCAATGTACGTCCTTTGTTGAACATCTTCTTTCGTTTCAGATGTACAAAGCCGTGAGGCAGTGTCGAGGATGTGTTAATCCCCCATCTGTATCGGTTCTGCAAGGACGGTGTCAAAGCAGTAGCAATGAGCTTTTGAGCATCTTCTTCATTTCCAGGAAAACGGGAAAACAATTCAGGATCATCCCATGTTCTGCAAGCAGACTCAAAGTAGAAGGAAGGACAAAACAGGGTGATGCGATGAATTTCATGATCAGCATGATGAATCACCACATTGGGTGGTAACCATTGAAGGAGGTGCTTGATGTTGTGGAAGGAAAATCTGGGATTAGTCTGCAACTCCTTGGTGTGAGCGGTCCATTGTCGAAGAAGTTCGGCTTGAAGATCACGATGAGAAAACGGAGGGCAACCATGATATTTAGTCCAGTACTGCAATTGTTCATGCCACATGTTCTGAAATTGTGCGAAGCTGGGAAAAAACGTAGAGGAGGCGTTGGCAGTCTCAAAGATGCGCAACTTGGAGGGCAAGTTCAACTCATGGATACCAACTGCAACATGTTGATGGACACCAAAACAATGAATTGAAGGATCAAAATGTTTGATTTTGGCAATCAATTGAGAGCACGAACATGTCAACTGGGTCGGATCCTGTACAGGGTGCTTGTGCTCATAGTGCTTGTAATTGTGTAGAAAACCTGAAAGTGTCTGTGCTGCAGCTTCCCTCAGTTTTGAGGTTGGAAGATGCAACGGAATTGCAATTTCCTTGTACTGTAGGACATGATTACGTAAAAATCTTGAAACTTGTGCTGAAAAATCAGAGTGTGCCAAAAATGGCATAGTCGCTGGACGATTCAGTTTTGGTATCGTCATATTTCTGAACTTCATGGCTGATGCAAGAAGTTTCCTGGCTCGACCGCGCGCTGGCTGTTCTAAATGATTGCAAAGTCGGTACAACACATATATTTCCCAATCATCAAATTTCCCAGACCTGAGGGTTGTCGCTGTGTCAAAGGAGAGGCGGCCAGGACTTGTGAGCTCAAAAAGAATGTTCCAAGCTTGAGCTTGTTTGCAGTGAATGGAGGGAGGAACACCTTTGGTGATGAGTCTTCTGCGTAGTCTTTGAAACAATCTGTTTCCCTGTGGAATAGATGGAAAAGTCTGAGAATGTTTCTTGTACTGAACCAACCATCCTGATGCTTTCAGCGTCAAGATTTTGGTGATAAATGGATGGTTCAACGGTGGTTGCCATCTTGAAATCAGTAAATGTTCAAAAATCCAGGCTTCTTGATATGTAGAAAAAGAGGCAATTGGAATTGCAGTAAAATTGGAAAAATCCGAACGTCGAGACCAGTACTTAACAGCAAGTTCAACGTGAACAGGAGTACCATCTTTGGCCAGTCTGTACTTGGCCATTCTATTGAATTCCCGCTTGGCCATTCCAATGGATGTGGAGCCGATATAAAATCTGCCAGCTTGTTTGTACGAAAGTGAAGTGGAGTTGGGAAGGTTAAACTGCATTTTAAGATAGGTGACAGCTGTACATTGAAAGAATACAAAAGTGTAACTCTCTGGATTAATACCAAGGTTCTGCAGTCTTCGCTGCCAAACCGCGGTATGATACGTGCGTGATCCAAAATGGAAAAGACAAATGAGATGAAGCAAACCAAGGGCCCAAATTGCACAAGACTTGTTGACAGCAGGGACAGAGTGCACGATCTCAATAAATACGGATCTCAAAACTGTGATGTAATCCAGAACGGCTTTCGGCCGATGTTTGGAAACATCCATAGCTAGTCAAGCTGTAAGAGCTGCTCCAACAGCAACTGCCTGTTGGAGACTTGTGATGCTGAGCTTGAGGACAGCACTTAAATTAAGGCCATATTGAGTGCTGGCCTGTTGCAACTGTTCCTTGGTGCATTTAGCAGCCTTTATGATATCCATGATTTTCTTGGACATCTGCTGGGTTTCCAGGTTGAAATTCTGGGTCCACTTCTTTACATTGGCTGCAGTGGTTCCGGAAAGCTGATTCTCTCTGAGATTTGGGGCCTTTGGCTCCAAAATCTCCTGAATTGTGATTTCTGTCGGAGAGTGCGTGGCAGAGGTCTCATCTTTTGGTGACGCAGCTGCCTTGCGGAACATAGGTGCCAGCTTTCTTTGCTTTGGCAGCGATTTCGGAGAAGCCCCTAATGCCTCGCTAGGTCTCTTCCTGTGAGAAGTAGAAACAACAGCAGGAGAAACAGGAACAACAGAACCAGCAGAACCAGGACCATCAAGATCATCAGTTGGCAATTTGGGATCAGGGGCAAAAGTGCCGGTGGTACGCCGTGATCTCTGGGGTGTATCCGGAATGCCTGCTTGTGCAAGCTTGGACTTGGCAGCTTGAAGCTTCGCTTCGGTCTCCTGGAGCCTTCGCATGGCTTCGGTATCCTGTTTTACAGGACACTGAGCCTTGAGTTTATCGGCTATGAACTGAACTAAAGGTGCCATAAACTCAATCGGTTTGTCCGTGCGATTGGGAATGCCCTGCTGGGGGGCCAACTGGCGATGGAGGCTTTCAGCCGTAGCATCGATATCAATTCCTTGATCACGGAATGTCTTCAAAATTTGGGAACCAAACACAGATTCAGCAACAGATTTCGCACAAATAATTCCAACAAATCTACCCTCACTGAGCGCTCGCAGCGCTGCTTCATCAGGTCCATGTCGAGTAAGATGACTGAG